CAGCGCAGAAGCCAACATAATCCGATGCTCCCTCAATGTTGCAGCATGAGTTTTTCACTGGGCGGCCTTGCGCCACTAGGCCTAGTACATGGTCATGGGTCGACACCTGTGACCTCCGAGAGGACCGTCATAAACTCATTTGACTTTTCGCCAAACTACTCAACTATGAACTGCCAGTGGGTCAAACATTTTCTTAAATTTTGAAATGCTGTCAAGGCCTGTTAGAAACGTTTTAAAAATTTGAAAAAATTCACATCGCTTCTTCATATCATGAACTATCGTGTTGAGACAGGAGAACAGTGAAATTGGGAAATATATATTTCGTGGGCCACTCTAATCTTCGCACAGTACCACTCCGGAAATTAAAAAAAAAACATGCGAGACATATTGATGCGGAATCAATCTTGAATTTTTGTTCGCTATCTCCAGCTATTTAATTAAATAATTCATTTTTAGCACATTGCGCCCTGTTTTTCAAAACAAGAAATGATCTGTAAAAAAGATTTCAACATAACGGTACAGGGTAAAATTTTGCAGATAGAACATCTCGAGAGATTTGCTTCTACATCCTATGCGAGATAGGGCAGAAGAAGTTGCCCCGAAAAAATTACACTGAAAAACCTAGTGGATTCACTAGGTAATTCAATTGAATTCCTATTGCACGTTCTATGAGTGTTTGGCAGATTCTATTAAAATGTTCAATCGAAAGTATTATATAGAAAAAGTCAATAGAATTCAATTTTTCTATATAACTTATTCTATTTTAACTTATTCTATAATTTCCTCGGCTCAAATTTTCTAAGTTTTTTTCATTCTATTTTCCTCCTCTTTTCATCAAGAAAGTCAATCAAAAAACTTGTAAAATTTCAACCTAGGAAATTCTATAGAAAATATCTGAATAGAATAAGGTTTATAAAAAATCGAATTCTATAGACTTTGTCCACAGAATATATTCTATTGAAAATTTCAATAGAATCGGCCGAAAACTAATAGAAAGTTTAATAGAAATCCAATAGAATCGTCCAGCGAATTCACTAAATTCGTTTATTAAATTTTTTGGTGCGCGGCCTATAACGAGTGCAATGAGGATCAAGTTTGTAACGTGACATTTTCGTATGGGGGTTAAAAATGCTTATTACCTTCGCCCTTCTTCCCCTTCATCTAGTTAAACTCAAAAATACAAAAATCTATGGGCGCCAGGTAATTTTTAGCCGGAATTACCAAACCGGATGATTCTACAAAACCAATTCTAATTGATTTCAAAACCTCAAAAATTTACACGAAAAGGGAGAAAACTAGATTTCTGGGGAAAGGTAACGGTCCTGGGTTCGCTCAGTGTGCTAGGTTGTGGAGAGAGGGGTGGAGTTCAGGTGGAGACGGGTATTGGGTGGCCAAAACTACAAAAAAAGGAAAAGAAATCAACATCGTTCTTACGTGTTTCACTATTGAAATATGAGAATCACCAATTTTTCAAAGAAAAGACATTTCAATTCTCTCAAAAAAATATTAAAAAAAAAAGAAAAAAAATCTACAATTAATAACTAATAATACTGACAATAATAATAATCATAATATTAATTCCGCACTCTGATAGGAAATAGTCTAATCTGACAAAAATATTCGAAGAAATTAATATCACCGATAAATACCTCAAATATGCCGAAATAAACATTTGGGGAGAGTAGAAATACACGCTAATCCCTAAATACTCGAGAATTCCGAGAACTGGGGGGAAAGGTATGCGAGCGACAATGGGAGCGAGAGAGAGGAGAACGTATTCATCCATCGATTTTTCGTACCAGCCAGAACGGCTGAAATTCCGTAAAACTCAACTTGTCATAACTCGAAAATGGCAGAGTCAAAAATTACGAACCCTGAGACAAAATGTCCGGGAGAGTCTACCGAAGACAACAATACCCAAAAAA